ACAAGCAGCTCAGAAATACAAGCAGGACCCATCAAGAATGAGAGGTAGGACGGAGAAAGCAGTAAGAGGGGACCAGGGGAGTACTTACTGTTCCAGCTCTTGCTGTATGACTGAACTGGAGGTGGGGAGCTGCCTACAGCATCCCAGTAACATTGGATGAACTGATATGTGTTAGGTTCTGCACGGATGGCCACCAGTATTTTCATGCCCTGCCGATGCTGCAAGGTACTGGCAAAAGTTCTGACTGCAGATAGGCTATCCGAAGTGTGCTACTAACAAGAACCTTGTTCTGGAGTGGAAAATAGAAGGCCTGGCATACTAAAATCCTCATATTACGAGTGCTGTTACCACAGATACCCTGCCAAATCCAGGCTCTTATACTTAGTGCTTTGTGAAATCTTGTAAATCCATACTAAGCCACATCCATCACCTGAAGGACCAGCACCGAGGGTAGCAAGGGCTGTGCTCCGTGTTCTGCCTTTCCTTCTGACATGGAGCAGTGGTTTGACAGACAGCTAGCTTCATATATAGGTAGGAGTTTTGAGCATTGAAGTCATTTTTGTCAATCTGAAATCAGCTAAATACCTGTGGAATTCCTTATTGTCTTTCATACCTCTCATCTAAGGTTGTCCTAGATAGATAATTTTTGAAGGTGTATTCTAAGATAATGTGTCCTTCTAAAAACAAAAGTGTATAATATGTCAGTGTTTGGAGCTGAATTGAGGAAAAGACGACCAATGTTAGGACATGATCTTAACAATGCTGTAGATAGATAGACATTTGCCAGCTGCAGCACAGGATTAGATGACCGGGTTGCTAGACACAAAACCACACAGAGGTCCCTTTGCCCAGAAGAATAGGATGGGACCAGCAAATTTTCTGGATTGTCTATATGATGTCACATCTGCGATCCTTTTATCTTGTCTAGGAAAGGAAGAGCTTGCATTAACCGCATTCAGCATTTGATTGAAAAGGCCAGAGCTCTGCAGGCATAGAACTGAATTGTATCTTCTTCGGATGACTCAGAAGTAGATGCTACTTTCTAGGATTATTTTTTTTTTTTTTTCACGTGAGAGCACTGGCTTTGTCTTTTAACATTTGATCTCTGTAGCCATCACTCATCTCTCTGGTGGCGTTCTGTTTCCTTAGAGAACTGCTGGAATTCAGCCAATCCCATGTTTTGGTCACCACCAAAGACCTATGTGATTGCCATTTCCTCCCTTATCACACGTTGTGAGAATGTATTACTCCTGTCTCGGAGCAGTATCAGATCCAACACTGTCATTAACTATTTGTGCTCAAAACTTAATTGGTTAAGACTTAAAAGGTTGTCAGAGTCTTTCCATTTTCTCCTGGTTTTCAGGAGAGGATTTAGTTTTCTGGAATACTTTCAGTCATTCTAGGACCCAGAAATTGAAATGCATTAAGGTATTTTAGCCTTTTGTGGTCTTCCATTAGTTTTGCAAACTGGTAAGAAAGAAGAATATTCCCCTTCATTCCCATGTATAGGTTATGAATGTCTCCGTAATCCAACCAGCACAGAGGCTTCAGATTATGAGGACAGTAGAGGCTTGGCCATCTTCTTAGCACAGTAAGCTGACTGGGCAGAAAAAAAAAAGGATAAAAGAAGTGCTAATTTTTTGGATAGTGATATCTGCACATTTCTTCAGTACAGCACCGATGTCACAAATGCGTAGTCCCTACTAAAACTGAACACCATTTGGAGGACCTCTCGCTCTCTGCAGACATAAAGCAACATCGATGGTCATGTAGCAACACTTGATTCTGCAGTTGAATACATGAGGTTTATTCTAGCAACAAAATTCATAATTTAACAGGTATGGGCTTGTGCAGAGCCATGTTTTGGATCGTCCGCTGAAATGTCTTGCCGAGCTTCTGTAGATTCTGTTGTAACAGAAGCCAAAATTCATAATTTAACAGGTATGGGCTTGTGCAGAGCCATGTTTTGGATCGTCCGCTGAAATGTCTTGCCGAGCTTCTGTAGATTCTGTTGTAACAGAAGCCAGGCTAGGTGGACATGGTGGAATCCTTCTATGTCAAAATGTTTAAATTTGTGAATATATAGGCATCCAGGCAAACCGCCCCACTTTTCAGAAGTGCTTAGTTCCCACTAACATCCATGGGACCTGCCAGGACAAAATTAGACTACTTTTAATTAAGTGTTCAAACGTTAGACTCAATCGTTTGTATGTCTGAGACAGTATCCTGCAGACCAACTCACAGCAAATCGTACTGAGCCATTTTTAATACAGGGGACCAGGGGAGTACTTACTGTTCCAGCTCTTGCTGTATGACTGAACTGGAGGTGGGGAGCTGCCTACAGCATCCCAGTAACATTGGATGAACTGATATGTGTTAGGTTCTGCACGGATGGCCACCAGTATTTTCATGCCCTGCCGATGCTGCAAGGTACTGGCAAAAGTTCTGACTGCAGATAGGCTATCCGAAGTGTGCTACTAACAAGAACCTTGTTCTGGAGTGGAAAATAGAAGGCCTGGCATACTAAAATCCTCATATTACGAGTGCTGTTACCACAGATACCCTGCCAAATCCAGGCTCTTATACTTAGTGCTTTGTGAAATCTTGTAAATCCATACTAAGCCACATCCATCACCTGAAGGACCAGCACCGAGGGTAGCAAGGGCTGTGCTCCGTGTTCTGCCTTTCCTTCTGACATGGAGCAGTGGTTTGACAGACAGCTAGCTTCATATATAGGTAGGAGTTTTGAGCATTGAAGTCATTTTTGTCAATCTGAAATCAGCTAAATACCTGTGGAATTCCTTATTGTCTTTCATACCTCTCATCTAAGGTTGTCCTAGATAGATAATTTTTGAAGGTGTATTCTAAGATAATGTGTCCTTCTAAAAACAAAAGTGTATAATATGTCAGTGTTTGGAGCTGAATTGAGGAAAAGACGACCAATGTTAGGACATGATCTTAACAATGCTGTAGATAGATAGACATTTGCCAGCTGCAGCACAGGATTAGATGACCAGGTTGCTAGACACAAAACCACACAGAGGTCCCTTTGCCCAGAAGAATAGGATGGGACCAGCAAATTTTCTGGATTGTCTATATGATGTCACATCTGCGATCCTTTTATCTTGTCTAGGAAAGGAAGAGCTTGCATTAACCGCATTCAGCATTTGATTGAAAAGGCCAGAGCTCTGCAGGCATAGAACTGAATTGTATCTTCTTCGGATGACTCAGAAGTAGATGCTACTTTCTAGGATTTTTTTTTTTTTTTTTTCACGTGAGAGCACTGGCTTTGTCTTTTAACATTTGATCTCTGGAGCCATCACTCATCTCTCTGGTGGCGTTCTGTTTCCTTAGAGAACTGCTGGAATTCAGCCAATCCCATGTTTTGGTCACCACCAAAGACCTATGTGATTGCCATTTCCTCCCTTATCACACGTTGTGAGAATGTATTACTCCTGTCTCGGAGCAGTATCAGATCCAACACTGTCATTAACTATTTGTGCTCAAAACTTAATTGGTTAAGATTTAAAAGGTTGTCAGAGTCTTTCCATTTTCTCCTGGTTTTCAGGAGAGGATTTAGTTTTCTGGAATACTTTCAGTCATTCTAGGACCCAGAAATTGAAATGCATTAAGGTATTTTAGCCTTTTGTGGTCTTCCATTAGTTTTGCAAACTGGTAAGAAAGAAGAATATTCCCCTTCATTCCCATGTATAGGTTATGAATGTCTCCGTAATCCAACCAGCACAGAGGCTTCAGATTATGAGGACAGTAGAGGCTTGGCCATCTTCTTAGCACAGTAAGCTGACTGGGCAGAAAAAAAAAAGGATAAAAGAAGTGCTAATTTTTTGGATAGTGATATCTGCACATTTCTTCAGTACAGCACCGATGTCACAAATGCGTAGTCCCTACTAAAACTGAACACCATTTGGAGGACCTCTCGCTCTCTGCAGACATAAAGCAACATCGATGGTCATGTAGCAACACTTGATTCTGCAGTTGAATATATGAGGTTTATTCTAGCAACAAAATTCATAATTTAACAGGTATGGGCTTGTGCAAAGCCATGTTTTGGACCGTTCGCTGAAATTTCTTGCCGAGCTTCTGTAGATTCTGTTGTAACAGAAGCCAGGCTAGGTGGACATGGTGGAATCCTTCTGTGTCAAAATGTTTAAATTTAACAGGCAAAATAAACAGGCAAACCACCCCACTTTTCAGAAGTGCTTAGTTCCCACTAACATCCATGGGACCTGCCAGAACAAAATTAGACTACTTTTAATTAAGTGTTCAAACGTTAGACTCAATCGTTTGTATGTCTGAGACAGTATCCTGCAGACCAACTCACAGCAAATCGTACTGAGCCATTTTTAATACTTTACATTCCAGAAGGGTAAGGCTTAGACATTTGCTGTCCCATCCTGTCCAGGTAAGTACCATCAGTGTCTACAATTTTCAATAATACTTGTGTTTGCCATTATTTTTATTACTTGTTATGTTGAATATTTTAATGACTTGCATATTGAAATGTCAGAAATACCATAATTATTGATTAATAATGCCTTTTAGTGTATGCTTTGGATTTAAAAGCTTGCTTCTGCAAACACTTCATGGGTGATTATCATGCTTACCTTTGTCTTTCTAAAAACATGTAGTGAAAGCTGGTCGTCAAAGTTCCTTCGCTGGTCAGTATGGAGAAAGTCATCACCATGGACTAATTGAGAAGTCGTTAAGATAGAGGGGTAGAGTTACACTCCAAAGGTGTCTTTCCCTTTCCGTTAATTATGGAAGTAATTAATGGGGGGTGACTATATTAGTCTATATGCCTTTTTAACGATTCAGGTGAGGTAAATTCTACCCTTTCTGTCAACAGGATTCCTTTCAGTGGGATTGTCAAGATGACGACTGCTCTTGGTGCCTTACCTCTTTGCAGGCTGGGACCCATATTGTTTTTTTCTAAAAGACGTGCTGTGTACTTACATTATTGCATGTTTCTTTTTCTGCAGCCAACATCCTGTATATGGCAAGCCAAGAAATGTTGAAGGTTGTGGAGAGAGACAGTACAACCATAAAGGAAAATTTAAAGAAGGTAATTATTTAATCCTCAGAGTTTTCATGGGAAGGCCACATGTTGAATCCAGTTATATGTGTGCAAAACCAGAATTTCCACAGGCTTGATTCTGATTTTGGGTTAGTGTCATTCCATTGACATTGGAAAAGCCATTAAAGGGGTCACCAACCATTAAAGTGCTGTGGATCCACACTTCTGTAGATGTAGCATTCACCACTGCCAGATGTAGTGTCCCATCTGGTATGTTGTCCTTGGTGGAAGAGAAGGGGTGTGTGTTCTGGCTAAGCCAGAGATGTTCCCAGTAAGACCAGTAGTTACCTGGGTTGTGATCAGACAGGCACATGGGCAGCTAGGACACGAGTGCAGGCTGTTTCACCAGACCCTCTGACTTCGCTGCTGGACAGGAGAAGCAGAACAGGTACCGTCTGTGTTGTGGGGTGTCAGTTAATATCGTGGGATTCTGCAGACTTGATTTTTCGATGGCAAGGAGGAGTCAGCAAAATTATTATTGCTCCACAGTTTCAGCCATTCAACTGCAGTGTAAGAGAAAGATACCGAAAGTGCATTCCTCAGAACTGGAGCTACTGCTATAAAGTAAATAAAGTAGTTTCATGGACCTTTCTCCTGCACTGAACTTTCGTGACTGTACGTATTTATTGTTGAACGAGATCCTGGTACAGTTTTGATCTGGACCGATAGCAGTCTCCCAGTCAATTCCCAGGCAGGGTTCAGGGGTTGACACGGGCCAGGAACTGTTCCTAATTGGAGTTTTGATGTGGTCACCCTGTTTTGGAGACTGAGAGAAATTAATAGTGTGGCCATGGTCAGGCAAGTCCAGATGGCTTATGAGCCAGAAAACTGTCACGTTTAATAAACTACTATTGGTGTAGCCTCTGTGTGAGGAGATAATCAGCGTAACATATTATTCTACTGTGTCCCTTTCCTTCCCTCCATTTTTTTGTATCATCCCTGTCTTTTTGCTGGAAGAATGATTCCAGCACTTGGCACTGGCAGAGATTTTCCTTGGAGAATGGAATTTTCTAGGACAGATGTCCTAGATCTCTGTAAGATTACTTTGTGCCTTGTAAATAGATATGGTACAAAGTTCACTTCATAAATCAGTCTTTCTTTTTTTGGCTGAAAATGGTTTTATTTTTTACTTATCCCATTTGCCTTCTCTGCACTTTGAAAGGTATGTTCAGATGTTTCACTACTAGTTTTTTTAGAAGAGTTGAAATAGCACACGTGAACAAGGAACACTGTTCTTGCATGCACTGCACCAGGCATGCCTGGTTATTCACGTTTTTGTTGCAGAGCACTCAAAGTTCTCTCGTGCTTTGGAGGGAATCTCAGTGAGGAAACTGAAGGGCTGATCTTGCAGACTGCAAATTTTCTCATTGTCTTAAACAAAACTATCTATGGGTTGATCCAAAGCCCAATGAATTAAAGGGAAATGGTTGATTTTACTGACTGAATCACCTCTCCGAGCTGAAGGGTCTGCCTGCTGCCTGAGGGAAAGGGAGCTGTAAGCTGAGGATGAACCCTGGCACAGGCAGTGTCCTCAGCATGCAGGGTCCAGTCCCACAGCACCCAAGGTAACAGGGTCCATCAACTGTCCCAGACAAGGCAAAGCAATGAACCATGTCCAGCATCCCTCCAGAGAATCCAGTCAGGAGCAAAAAGAGACAGGGCCAGAGACAGGACTAGAGACAAGGCTATACCATGGGTCCAAAGTCCATCCAGGAGACATGACCAAAGACACCTTCCTTATGACGAAAGGCTGAGAGACCTGGGTCTGTTTATCCTGGAGAAGAAAAGACTGAGAGGGGGTCTCATCAATTCTTATAAATATCTAAAGGGTGAGTGTCAAGAGGATGGGCCCAGACTCTTTTCAGTGGTGCCTGGTGACAGGAGAAGGGGCAACAGGCCCAAAGTGGAACATGGTAAATTCTATCTGAACATGAGGAAAAACTTCTTTGTGTGTGACAGAGCACTGGAACAGGCTGCCCAGAGAGCTTGTGGAGTCTCCTTCTCTGGAGATATTAAAAATCCACCTAGATGTGTTCCTGTCCAGCTGCTCTGGGTGACCCTGCTAGATGATCTCCCAAGGTCCCTTCCAACCCCATATCATTCTGTGATTCTGTGATGTGACAGAAGGCAAACTGCGAGGTGGAACCCATCCAGGCCACAAGCTATGTACAGTGTGGGTCCAGTGTCAGGCTATGACACAGGGACTGGGGCTGGAGACAGATACTCCTACAGTGTGATCATAGAGACAGAGACTAAAGGCAAAGGACAGAGATGGAGACCCTGGGCCCATGGGCAGGGAGGGTGGGTTGGGGTCCCAGGCAGGGCTGGTGAGGCCTGTTGGTGCCCTGAAACTGGGGGTAAGATTACAGGTTACCGTGTTAGTCAGGGTACAGAAGTGGAGAGTTTGCAGGAGCAGGACTTCAGGTGCTTTTGGAAATTTTAATCACAAGCACACGTGCTTGACGTTAAGCATAAAAGCTTCGTTGGATGAGAATGATAGTGGTGACAATCAGCTGCAGCTCCAGTGACTTCAGATGCTTCATATTACAAAATACTTATTTTTTGTACTGAATGAAGGCCCATAGCCAACAGTAAGAGTTTGCAGGTGTCCTAGTCTGCTTCATCTGTGCTTTTGTTGACTCTGTCAATCTAAGCATGGCTTTGGCAGGCAGGAGCTTTTTTAAACCTGTGTTGACTTTCTTTTATTGATTCTTCTATGTCCTCATACTTTCAAAGTGGCAAACATACTCAAGAAAACAAAAAGCTGAAGCAAACTCATAAGCAGTTGGGAAACTGAAGAAAAAGCAGGTCTAAAAATGAATTTAGTGCTTCTCTTTTTCATCTTCTAGTAATTTCTGGGAATATAAGAATTAAGGAAAAAATTTTAAGTTGGCATTGTGTTAAATTTGAAGTATATTGACAATAAAAATGGGCTTAACTTATAAAGGTTGGAAGTTTATAAAAACAGGAACTATAGTCCAAGTTGCTATAGAACTGGCAAGCTGTCACTTCAAAAAATTTATACTGTTTAGTAGTCGCTGTGATCATATGCTAAAAGCCAATCTTAACACCTGGCTTTGCCAGCTGCTGTGGAATAGAAAAGTTATTTCTGGATCTTATTTGCATTCTGTGATCTGAAGAAGAAAGAAGAAGAGACACTAAATTATTCCAATCTTTCCATACCCAGGTTTCACTGTAATTATTACTAGTTAGGAACTAGGAGAAATTTTATCTCCAGCCCCCAGATTCTTAGTCATAACAATGCTAATTGCTCAGATTTATGTTGAAAGAATGGGAGCTGGAATATTGTTTGGATAATTAAGTGAGATATTTCACTTATAGTGTTCTAAAGACAGAAGTTGTGCACATTAAATAGCAGTGGAACTGTGTGGGCAGGATGGAGACCTGTCTTCTAATGAAGTAATAAACGATAAAGTATTTAAAATATTGGCTCTAAAGCTTTTCGTCTGGATCAAGCAGTACATGAGTGTAGGCTTCTTATTGCAATGACACAGGGAGTTGTGATAAATCACAAAATCCAGACAAATCAGGTAGGGCATACCTCTATAAGATGTGCTCAGCTTTGATGGTTAATTATCATTAGCTGAGTGTGTGTAAGCCAGCTGAGCTGTGCTCTCTCACTCACTGTAATAACACCAACTCCCTTTCCTTACAGAAACTGGAGGCACAGATACTACTGCGCTAGAGGAAGTTTATTGTAATTGTTGCACTAAAGGAAATGGGTGTAATTCCCTATTCTTAAAAAGATGGGTCAGCATTGAGCATTGCAGAGCTTTAACAAATAGAATAAAAATTAGAAATGGAAAGGGAAAATGGTTATGCTGGGCATTCACTAACATGCCCGTGATGGACAATGATATTTCCACATAGAAGCTCTTAACTTTTTAATTCTGCATCATGCCACATTCATTGCTTTATTTTGAGACTTAGCCTTATTGATTCTTTTTTTGTCACGTAAGCTTATAAACCTGTTGTAAACATGAAGATACTGCATTAGATGGTAAACTAGGATGCTTACAGAGGAAGTTCTGTTAAAAAAAAAAATCACTCTTTTTATATTTATTGAGATATACTTTGTTCATTACTCCATGTGTCATACACAGTAGTCCTATTTACAAGTGTAGGATCTGCTCCAAGGCCCATCTAAATCAATAGAAGAGCTCCCACAGTCTTCAGGAAGTCTTGAATCAGTTTGGCAGTGAACTTTCTGTCGTGGTTGATAATTTCTTAAGACCAAAAGTCATCTCCAGCAACTGAAAATCATGATTCTTTTGGTTAGCACGTTAAACCAAAAAAAGTTTATATGCTCTTTCAGCTTAGTTTTGCCAGTGGTCTGGTGTAGCAGATACATTGATTGTGTAAGGAAAAGAACAGGAAACATCTGAAGCAGAGATACAAAGATGACAAAAAATCTTGTCTGAGAAGAATTATTTTTAATCAAATGGGGAAAAGTATAAACTGGAAGGCTTTGGACACATTTCCAAATTTTCACTCAGATTGAGGAAGTCTGTATCGTGGGTGGCTTATAACCACCCATATATAGTTAGGTGGGGAAGATGTTAATTTTCAAAAAATTAAATGAATGAAGTATATGTTTACTACTTCCTGCTTATTTCAATGGCGTATTTAGAATTTAAAGTAATACAAGTTTATATCACACCAGTAATGTCAGAGAAAATGTATTCTCCAACAGTATCAACTAAACAGTAATATGCAGAGATTCAGAATAAAAATTGCAAAAATGAAGTATTTCCTTTAAAGAGAAAATCTCTAGGTTTTTCTTTTGAAAAAATATCTTTGCTAGAGAAAATTTTTAAAACAAAGCAACCAAGAACTATTTTGACCCCTGAAGCAGCTGGTTTGATGTTGCCCAGTGTTTTTGTTCAACATCCACAGGGGTTTAGTAATTATTCCCAGTGAGAGGAGCATGATCTGAAGAGAAGTAGTTAAAAGAATACTACAAATAC